CCCTACCTCTCGCGCCTCAAAACAAGATACATCCACCCGGCAATTCGTCTTCTTTAATCTTCCAATCAATTCGAGGGCATCCCCGAACGGGGATAGATCTGATAAAGGTGGAATAAGCTAGTGGTGCGTTGAAAGAGTAATTTCGGAGCGTTTCGACCGATTAGGCGAACCCGTGAGTATCGAAGTGTATAGTCGGTCGAAGAAATGTCGCGAGATCTATCGGGTGTCGAAGTTTACATTTTCGGGAATATGGATGGAAATTTGAGAAGGTGAGGGTGCGAAGCTTCTGTAAAATCTTCGTGAATTATGTCTTATCTTCGATTTAATTTCAATGGAAACATGCAAAATATCACGTGTGACTTTGGCCGTTTCTGTATCAATTCGCTGTTCAATTCTCGAGAAGGTCTCGAGGTTGGGGAAACGAGCGGGTCATACAGAGAAAGAATGAAAAAAACAGTAGAACCGCGTTGTTAATGATATCAGAAGAGTGCGTGAGGTTATTTGCGAGAAAGAATAAGAGACCATTGATCAGCTTATCGTTATTCCTTTTTACGTGTCTTCATCGTTATTGTGTAATTATTGTTATAAAATATATTGCTATTAAACTTACTGTCACGTGTTATTCACCCACAAACAGCTACAACCGACGCCGCTTTGCACCTCGAGAAAAGACCTATCTACAATACTGCTCTATTTCTTTCGTATTTATCATAATTTCACTGTCATACAAATTTTCTTCGCTTGTTATAATATTAATCCTTTGGCGAGCTAGCCATCGGTACGCCACTAACGAACGGGTCGTCGTGCCATTAGTGCGCACCGTACGCATTAAGGGTGTCTCGCGCTTCTGGAGCTCCCAGTGTGTCCGTGTAAAATCTTAGAGGATTTCGTTGGAACAGCAGAGGACTCAAGGATGTATCGGATAAAGGGAATGTTGTTGAGGCCTTGTTCTGTATTTCAAAATAAATCTTGAGTTGTCGAGGCGACGCGCTTAGCGGATGCCGGATATAACCGGCGCTAGCCAGTGTGAAGCATTTAGTGGATGCCGGATATAACCGGCGCTAGTCGCGAAAGGGTTAAATAAAGTACCCTTCGAGTTCCGACTCTACGAATATTCTTAAAAGTTGATAGAAAGCTAAGCCGCTTATAGGGACTTCTCCCCTTGGAACAACTAGAATTTCGAAATGACTTGAAAAGAAATTGCAAAGGGTTCACCCATTAACACCGCAAACTACTCGTCACAACCTGCACAAAATTATTTACACGACGTGAGAAAAGGTCTAAATGAAAAAGTGTCGGGAAAATAGGACACACCGGGTGTTAATGGGTTAATTTACGAGCTCGCTATATTTCTTCCAGCGACTATACAATCCTGGCAGTGTACCAAGAAGCTCGTTCACAATGTGTACGGTCGCGTCAGGTTATCCAGATTATCAGGAAACGGTCGGAACTGGAAAATGAGGTAGGATGAGTATAGGGGGGAGAGTTGCATCTCGTTTCGCGCCACGGCCAAGCACGAGCAACGACGCCCCGGCATTAATAGCGCAATAATGCCACACCAGCTAAGCCTTACGGTCTAAAAAGAAACTAAGTCGACGTCTGGCTTGGCCAGCAGTCAAATGGCACCCGCGCCACAATTCCCGCGGACTTTATTCCGGTCGAATCTGTGTGTTCGGGCCCGGCCTTCCTCGTCCATGTCGCAACGAGCCGAGGGCCACGGTTTAAAATGCACCGTACGCGCTTTGCCGAACCTTGTTCTTCTCTTCCTCGACACGCTAACGGGTGTCTCCGAAAGAAATCAGAAATCTTTTTTTGGAACCGTTGGGAGAATCCTTTTTGGGGTAATTTGGAGCTCCTTTCGTGGCCTTTTAACCCTTCGACTGCTGTCGACGCCTAGAGACACTTAATGACGAACGAACGCTATTCTATCTTTTATATTTACATATTGCTTGTTTTACAAATGTAGAATACAAAATAGTCTGTGGAAAATGATTTGGCTAACGAGATATGTACTATGCTGGTCGTGCACAGCCAGTGCTTCACTTTCGAGTTGCCAGCAGTGAAAGGGTTGAGGATCTCTTTGGAAATGGAAGGCAAAGTAATGGTGAATGTTTTTTTCAAAATTTTTGAATTGGGACCGGCGCAGAGAGAGTCTCTTCGAAAGCAGTTTCGAGACTGTTTTACGAGCTCCAGCTTCAAAAAATGGTGTCGAAGGAATAATATTGCCATTTCGTACATTTTCCTTCGACGAGTGAATTTTTCAAATTCGGTTTGCACTTCGATAGATCGTCTTTTTCTTAGACACTCGGTGCACACCACTCTAGAGTGAAAATAAAGAGTGTTTACGACATACTTGACTCGACAAATTCCAATTACAGATCTTTCTTAATCAGTATCTTTAGTAAAAGCTTACACGTTTCTCGCATAAAACTAACAATTACGTGCTTTCAACATCTTCAAAAGATACTCTCAAATGTACTAACGTACACCTCGAAAAATTCCACCGCGCTCTCTGCTTATAATCGCAACGAGCGAATTGCGAACCGATGACGAAGTCGCGAGCCCACGCGAACTCGCGTTACACAGGTTCCCCCGAAAAGAGTGAGTTTCGAAAAATTAGCATAAAAGAAAAACACCGTGCGATGTAAAATAAATCGCCGGCGTTTTCACCTCCGCCCCTGGAATACGAAATTTTTAATTAAATCCAGCTGAATAAAATTCTCCGGAGAAATGACAATATCTCTAATAAAAACAGCGAGAGAAGATGAGACGGTTGCGAGACTAGGCGCATTGTCACATTGCGTTAAGAACTCGAGAGGCATACACACAACTGTCCTCGTTTCACTCTAAAATCCCATCTGTTTTACACTTTCCAGCAAGAAGTTGCTATTCCAACGAAAAAAAAATGCAAGGATTGAGACACCGACACCCTATTCATCCCGTGTTTTTATCCACTCGCAATAATCGTTTACGTTCTCTCTGTTCGCCTGCAACGAAACCGTCCCCAGCCGGCTCCGGCCAATAAAATAAGATTTTTGCTCGTAAGATTAACATATTAACGAGCCGAGCGAATCCAACTTTCCACCGTGTACTTATACACACTCGCGCGCTTCCAGGCTTTATCTGTCCGCCTCCTCCGGCGGCCATCGGGAGATCTCGAACTCGAGGGACCGTTGTCGCGCAGTCTTCCCGTCCTCGCGAACCGATAAAACCGGAGGGAAAAAGAATGTACGTTGAACGCTTAACGAACCGCCGTGAGTTATTCGAATTTCTTCGAGTCACGCGTTCCAGTTTCTGATTGATCACGCGCCTTTCGTTCCCGCTGTTTGATTAATTTCACGGGATCGGTCACGTATATACGCGAGAATCCCCGATCCTTTCGCTTGGTGTATCACGGGACTCCTGATTTCCCCGAAAGAAATAATTTACCGGAATGAAATCGCGCAGAAGAACGATTTATCCGTCCCGCGACGCGGACTTTCCGCGCTGGAAAAATATATTACATCGCTTATCGCGGCCTGACTGTATTTCCACCGTGTGGTATATCAGTACAGGTGACGCGACACCGTGTCCCTTATATCATTTCCTTCTCCAACGCGAACATTCCTCGTCGTTTTTTTTCTTCTTCGTTTTTCTTATCAATTAGTTGAGGCGAATCGTCGGTTCCCATCGGAAGCGTTTTCTGTCGGTGCGTGCTTTTGAATAGATATCGATTTGTCGAGTAAAGTACAGTGAGATACTTGAATGGTTCGGTTTTCATTCGAACGACGGTGGAAATGTTGGAGCGTGGGAGTGTTTCGGTGAAGTATTAAGTTTGAGTCATGTTCCAAAGGGGAACGATGAGGCAATTTAAGAGGCAATACTTGGGCGAAATGTGCTTGGAACGAAACTTGGAAAACAATGATGAGTAATAGGAAGAGGTGCCTGAATGAATAGCGTTGACTCAATTGTGTACAGGGAGTTTCATGAAAATTCGGTCTGAGTCACAGGATTGTAGGGATTTATCGAAATATGAAAAATATGACGATCGTCGGATAGCGGTGATAATAAGAAGTAATAAACGTTAGGTGTGCATTTAGAATAACGGATATTTGAAATAAATCGAAATATTTCACGAACAATAATATCGCGTGTATAAAGCTGAACGTGTGTCCGCCTGGATTAATTTTAAACGAGGAAATTATTTCATAAACGTCGGAGAATTACAGCGATATTAATATCTGTCCGGATTAAATTATACAGGGTAGCTCAAAATTCGCGGGAATTCAAATTACGATCGAAGAATTCCACGCAGGTTTCGATCGTGTTTAAATGTAAACGCGTTTCGCGGGCTGGAATTGTCACGCTCGAGAATTTATACTCGACTGTTTCGATTAAATCTAAATGTACAGAGCGTTTCAAGAACTTTCGAAACTTCGTTAACGTTTCACGGAGACAAGCTGGAGTATCGCTGTTAATAATTGAGCGACGAATTGAAACTTTAAGGTTAACTCGGTGCTCGTTCTGGAACTTTCTCGAATGTGTACAGGATATTTCATAAGCGAACGAGACGTGCGTCAAAGTGCATAATTGACCGACGTTTATTCCCGTTAAATTTAAATACACAACACACTTTGTACAGTTCCTTTCAGAAACATAAAAATTCCTCTCTTCGACGTATTCGAGGAAAGTTAACCTCGATTCGAGTCGAGAGCTGAAAACATCGACCCCTCGAGCACAATGTTATTCTTCGCCTGTCGATGCGCGTTCTTCCGTTTACGCAAGGCGAGCTCGCACCGCGCGACGCTCCAGTTTCGGTTGTCTGTCTGGACGGAGCGCGCGAGTGACTCACGGTGAGTCAACTGCGCGGGAAGTCGGCGAGTCGCGCATGCGCTTAACGAAGAGCGCGCGAAACGACGGTCGCGTGGCTCGAATACGACCCGACTCGACACGACCCGACTCCGCGCGATTCCACACGCCGGCCGGCCGATGCTCACCTAGTCATTTCGTAGGAGCACTCAGTCGCGGACGCGGACGTACGAGCTCGCTCGGCCGTGTGCAGTTGTACCAACCGACCAGTCCGAGACCGGCTGTGACGGACATAATAGGATGAAGGACATCCGGTCGCAGGTGAGTTAGCGACCCCGTTACCTTATCTCGAGCAAAAGTCAAGGTCCAACCTCGCGTTCGCGCTGTCACTACCACGTGCAGCCACGCTGCTCAAACCACGCCACTATGACAGCTACACTTTTCGACAATGCTCATCTCCGAGAGAATTCTTTTCTGGAAATTGTAGGTTATAACGGACCTCTAGCGTTGGATATCTCGCGGTATATTTAGATACAGTTAAGTAATTGTTTAGAAATTTCGTACAGATGTTAGCAATATTTTCTTTGGCTCTCCTCGCATTTCTCTTCGCTCGCGTTGCGTTCAACGCGCTCGTTCAAGTTCGGTTCGTGATTTTTAACGGTATCTTAGTTGACCCTTCCTGCGAGCGTGTTTACAAGTAACGATGCGTTGGAATTATTCTTTCCATAATTCTAACGAACGTTTCAACTCTCGGCGTTTCTCTCCCGCTGTTTCCAACATTCGCGATAAATTCCCAGTTCGAAAAACTTCTTCAACTCGACAACCGAATCGTCGTTAATACCGTTACCTCGTTACCGAAGCAAATCGAATACATCGAAGTTTAGTTTGACCTACTGTACTCCGGCAGACCCTCGACCTCCGAAAAATTAGACCACGAGACCCTCGGGCATTCCAATAATGCCTCGTGTCGAATACTATGCCTCGGTCTCGCGTGACACGCTACGACCATAAATCAGAGAGAAGTTCGAAGCGGCGGGGTAGCGGGAGAGGAGACAAAGGTCTGTGCACTGTCGAAATATTTCTTTGGCCGGTTCGCAAGTGGCGTCCATGTTGAAAAGTCGAAAAAGGCCGACTGGTCGTCGATCTTTAATCTCACGAGCAAAGGTCGCCAGGCCGCGTTTGACGATTAAACGATCTTCTGGCTCTCGCTATATACGGTCTCGCTAAAAACGTATCGCGACCAGCTCGCCTCTGTCTGCGAGGCGACGAAATCGGAGACCAGAGACCAATGGCCGGTGTCGTCATCGAAGAGGACTGACATAATCGACCTATCAGAGGGGTCAGCATCCTCCTGTCCGTGGACCACGTCCCAAAAGAGTCGATATAGAAGGCGAACTGGCTTGACCGTTAATTGCCGCTACGTTCTGTCGTTTTCCCTCACGTTCGTAAGATTCGAGTTTATTGAACTGTATCTTTTACGGTTTTTTTTTTTTTTTTTTGAGGATGTCGTGGGAACTTTTGGGCGGATGAGTATGTTCAATGGTATTTGAATTGTTTATTGTTGAATGTTTCTTGGGTCAATTGGCGAAACACAGGAACTGAATTTTTTTTTAATGACAGATTTAAAATGGACGACTTAATTATTCGTGTTATGAGTTAGTGTGCTGTAGTAGTACGGGTAATTTTTGTTTTTTTACTCTAAAGTAAGAAACAGAATTTGATCTTTCGGTATTATTAGAGATCCATAATTTAACCTTTGTGGGATGTCTAGAATTGAAAGTTGCCTTAAAGACGCTATTGAAAATTTCTCAAAGAATCAGTCGTCTTAAAGTTTCGTTCTACGCACAAATTATCAGTTTGCAAAATGATTTCCAATTGACTGTTCGATCTATGTTATTTTTGAGTAAGACGGAATTTTAAGACTGACTTTTCGAGAAATTGTCAGAAGTGTGTTTGAAGCAATTTGCAATTTTAAACATAATTTTCACAACGTTGCGTTTCTTCTTCTTTTCGGTCAGTTTACCGATCGTTCGTTTTCGCGCGGCAATTGAACGATCGCGTTATCGGCGTTCCATTCGGCCGTCTATCAGGCAAAGTGTTACTAATTAACTAGCTGTTTGCCCCGATAATATTACGGTAATATTCAATATTTGTAATGCTCCCGAACGATCGTATCAGTGTCAATTTATTTACCGTTTTATCAACACACCGTTGTTATCCGTCCGATTAATATCCTCTGTTAATTGTATCGTCGCTACTTTTCCGGGCTTTATTTCGGCGACGTACGAAACGAATGCGCAAATGGTCGAATTTCCATTGTGATTCCGCGTTGGAAATTTGACTTTGGAACCATTTACTAGATCGCCCATTGTACAATTACTCTCTTAATTATTTTACAACGCATTATGTAGGACAAAGCGTTAAGAAATTCGCCGATTCAAATTTATCAATCGTATTAAATTTAGAAATAAATTCAATTAGAGATCATACAATCGATTCCGAAACCATCGAGTTTCTATAGCGATGCGGCACAAAATATTACAATATACAGGGTGTCCCGTAACTCCTCGAACACCCGGAAATGGGGGGTTCCTGAGGTGACTCTGAACAACTTTTTCCTTTATCAAAATGTTGTTTGAAGCTTCGTTTTTGAATTATTAACGAAAAACACTGGCCAATCAGAGCGCGTGTAGAGCCCGCGAAAATCGAGTCTGTCAGTATAAAAGGAAAAATATTGGAAATAAAAGCTGGTAAAGGTTTTTCGCTGTAGGTTTTTCTCCTTCTTCAAGTCGACTCAAAATTTTCATTTTCATGTCCAAAGACATCGACTTTCTCTTCTTTCGTGTGATTGAAAGTTTGTTAGACATGACTGGGTTAAAATTCAAAAATATAAATTATAAATCTAAACAGTGTAGTAACAATGTCGTCCTCTCAACGTCCAAAGTCACACTGTTCGCTTCCGCACTACGGCCCAGCGGCCAAAGGCAACGCCTTGTGCGGGCCTAACGCAACAAAGTTTCTTTCTGCGTCACGCGTCCCGCCAACAGATCTCACAATACTGACTGTATAAAAGACTGTATGTACATATCTGACCGCGTAAAATAAGATCGCGTATAAAAAGTTGCGCGAAAATTGAGGGACGGGTGTACGTATGACACGGACATACGTCATTGAGATTTTCAAAACGCTCCAAATGGTTCGATTTCTCTTCAGAAATTCCGTAACAAATGCTTCACGGAATGAAAACAACTGTCTGTGACTTGCGACTACTTACGGTAGTTTTCTCCAACCTAACGCGATCCAAAGGAAAAAGCAAAATCACTTCGTATCCGTGTGAAAAAGGCGGCTGCAAAACGTCCCGACGCCAATGCGTTGAACAAGCTTCTTTTTAATTTTACCAAAAAATCGGAAGGAGCGCGTTATCGAGTAACCTGCAATTATTCTCTTAATCGCGAGATTTCCGAGGACTGTAGCGCACGTGGTCGTTCTCCACGGCCATCTTTCGACCCTGCAATCCGTGGTTCCGTTTTTAGATTCCGGTTTAAGGTGACGATAGACGGCCAAGGGAGGCCGGCACACATTACGTCCGTGTACTTGGACGGCGAAACGTCGTTTCTGATCCACCCACGCTGTCTAGAGAAGGAAATGCCTCGATACCGCTAACGAGGGGGCAAAATAAAAGCTTCGTTTGTTTTAACGGCCGACCAGAGACGCGATTCGAGAGGGAGACGATGTTTGTCTCGTAGACTGAACCTGGCAATTTACTTAGGCGATTATTTCTTTTTCGCTGGTAAACGATTAAGGGGAGAGGGAGAGGGAGAAGTTGAATTTTGCAGTAAATGAAAAGAGAAGGTTTATTTCTCGATCAGAGACGTCGGTGGAAAAGTGGAAAGATTGTAGGTATATGCGAAAGCGTGACGAATCTAGCACAATGGCTACTTTCTTCTTGGCGAATGAAAGAGTCGTTGTTGAAACTTTTAATCGAACACGGTTTACCTTAGGAGAAAGGAAAATAATGGTTTTCTTTGGGAAAATGTTTGTTTGAATCGGAGAATCTCTTGGAATTAGCGGGATATTTTCGATTGAATTACCGTGGGTGATTAACCAGTTAACTGCGTTCGACGTGTATACTCGTCGGGTAAAATAGAAAATTACCATTTACTGGTAAAAATGTCATTTGGTGGTATGTTTCCTTTGTATTACCAATGAAACTGCTGTGCATTTTAGAAAGAAAAGTTTGATTATTCTCTTTGCATATCGGATATTCCCCGTACAAACCGAGTTGATTATTCTCCCCGATGCATCTGGTATTCTCCGAATACCACTTAAAATTATTTTTTTCTTTAATTTTTCTTGTTTATGAATTTTATCATTTTTCGACAGTTTCTAAATTTTTAATAACAACCCTTTCAACAATGAATGGTTAACTTTTTATCCTCGTTTTGCTTGACTTTTTTCGTCAAATTTATAACAGGAGCATTTGCCCTGCGCTCGACGTGTATACTCGTTGCTTGATTTTAATTCCGCATCCCGTGAGGGATTTTCGAAACTGAATTCCACAGTTAACTGGTTAAGTGGGTGATTAGGAACGTGGCGCGAATAGAAGTACACATGTCCCTCGAATTACACGGTAGATACGTTCCACAGAAAATCGTGCAAAGCGAAACCGCGTAAAACGAGACAGAGCTTGCATATAAGAAAGAAGGATTGGAACTAAATTTTAAGCCGTGTCAATCGAATCAAAGAATATAAAGAAAATTCGTAGATACGTTCGCGGTAACCGTGTGAAATGAGACAAGGATTGTATGGAAAAATGGAGTTCGGTTCCACCGAATGCCAAGTCACGAAGCCGATGGCTCTAGCACATTCAGAACGTATTCAAAGACGTCAAATTTTTGTCGTTTCAACTCGTTTGAAAAACTTTTCAAAAATAGAAACAGTCTTCAATCTTCGTCAGAACATTCAAAAGCTGGGACTCGTTTTTTCTTTGCTTGTGGAACAATATCACTATCCAAGTCACTAACGTTAAATCCGTCGTTGAGTTACAACAAAGTACATAAAAAAAATACATAATGAAAATAAAACACAAAATATTTTCTTTTTTTTTTTTTTAAATTTGAAAACCGTGTAATTCGAGGGACATAATCGATATTCGATTTAAAGAGAAAGAATCTCGTGTTTTGTATAGGAATTACCAATTGGAGTGTATAGAACGTGGCTAAGTAAAAATCTCTGTCGATATAAACACGTTTGCGGAGAAGAAAAACTGAAGAATTAATTATACAAATTTTGTTTTCATACCTTTCGACATAAGCAAGTTT